ATTAGGAAGCCTCACGGTGGAGGCTGGGGGGGGGGGACCCCGTAAGACGTGCGTTTGCTCTAGGGATATGACCACAATCGCCGTACAAATAAATATCCCGTCAAACTCCCGAGCGTTGTAGGAATTAAGGTGTCGGTTTTGTTTTTTAAATCGTTGTTATATGCGATGTTGATTCTGTAATAACGGCAACAACAATTTACTGTGCTGTGGGGCATTGTAACATTTTGTAGGTCATTCTGTAATCAGGGAACTTGAATTGTATAGGGCATTACGACATCTAATGGGATTTTTGCATACGATAAAATACATAAATGTGAGTGGTGTCTCTCGTCGTGTGCACGCTCATTCTCCCGTCGTGCTGACGTCCTCCCATTAGGAAACGCAATAAACCCTCAGTGACGGAAGCGATCAAAGGCCCTGCTGAAAGCGAGTCTTGAGCTCTAGATAGAGGTTTTCCTGAATAAACAAGATGAATTGTGATTTAAATAATGATTGGTAATCTTTATTTCGGCCTCTGAAAGCCTGTTTTGTTGTTGTTGCGAGTACAGCGCTACAATAATTTTGCAGACAGACGAAATCGTAAAATGAAAATTGCGCAAAAACGTTGGAAGAACAACAACAAAAATACCCGACATTAAACGTCGTAAAAATTCAGCGCCCGTTAAGAGTCCTGCATTGGGCCGGGTAGCAACGGGCATGCATGGGTGGCCTGCATAGACACATGCAGAGAGACACATGGAGATACATAGACACATGCAGAGAGACACATGCAGAGAGACACATGGGTGCACATAACAGCCACTGTGTACTCTTAGCACAGTGAGTAATGGGAGTCCAACCTCTATCACTACCCCAACCCCTATCACCACCCCAACCACCATCACGACCCCTATCACTACCCCAACCCCTATCACCATCCAAACCCCTATCACTACCCCAACCCCTATCACCACTCCAACCCCTATCACTACCCCAACCCCTATCACCACCCCAACCCCTATCACCACCCCAACCCTTATCACCACCCCAACCCCTATCACCACCCCAACCCCTATCACCACCCCTACCCCTATCATCACCCCTACCCCCATCACTACCCTAACCTCTATCACTACCCCTACCACAACCACTATCATTACCCCTATCACCACCCCAACCCCTATCACCACCCCTACCCCTATCATCACTCCTACCCCCATCACTACCCTAACCCCTTTCACTACCCCTACCGCAACCACTATCAATACCCCTATCACTACCCCAACCCCTATTACTATCCCTCCCACAACCACCCTTACCCCAACCGCTCATTAACCTCTCCTGCCGACCCTCCTATCACCATAACTACACTACCACCTTCAAACAAAACCCCACACTCTATTAACTCAATCACTATCGTCTTATGTACAATTGTATAATTGCTGTAAAGCACCTTGGAATAAGGCGCTATGTAAATATATATATAACACAAGACAGGATGTCTGGTTACATGTTTCCCAGAATCTGCATTTAGGAGCCGAGGCTTTAAGACACTGGCGGAGCCAGTGGGGGGGGGGGGGGGGGGGGGTGGCACGTGCCCCCCCCCAATGATCCGATCGAAATCCCTAATTTCGTGACGGATCATTGGGGTTTATTAGTAATAAATCGGCATTTTGAGACCCCCACTGCCACTGTGTAGCATAGTATTACTTTCCAGGGACTCTGCGAGACGATAGGACAATAGTCTGAGTCCATAATGGGCAATAAGTAACGGCAAAGCAGTCATAAGCGACTCAGAATTATGCGTAGTTGCGTCTACAGAGTCCACGACTTCCCTGAAGGCATCAACACCTTCAGCGATCGTGATGCCGATCACACAACGCGGTTCGAATTCGACCCCTCGATCGATGTCTGCGCCATTGCCGCACATGCGTCGAATAAAAAGCAAGGGACAAGTCCTCACTTATTACTAACAACTCCTTACTTACTAACAACTCCTTACCTACTAACAACTCCTTACTTACTTACAACTCCTCTATCATTTTTCATTGCTGGAGGGGTTGCCCCCCCCTACCTGAAAATCCTGGCTCCGCCATTGGCCTCAGATGTAATGGAAGTTAGTGCTTTGACACTGCGAGAATAACAAAGCATCCACGCAGAGAAGTCAATGAGTAAAAAATATATAATTACATTTGCGGGTTGGGTCATGGGTAGCGGGAAAGGTGGCGACGGTTGACGTGGGATGAGGGTTCGGGTCGGGTGGTCGTGGGTCATGGGTCGGGTCGCGAGGTCACATGGTCCGACCCGCGCAGGACTCTAGCGCAAGTATTGTTATCCCTTTGCACACTCGTTTCACAAACGTATCTACAAACGACAGAACGAACCAAAGCTATTTAAGCAATTGATTATAGCCCTAAACAAACACAAAAACGACTTGGGTTTTCTTTTTGTTACGCAAAAAAATCAACAAATGGAACTGCAGGAAAAAAACACCCATCACGCTAAATTCCGATCTGCAACTTTAATTTGACGAAATTCCACCCCCCCCACCCCATCCCCCCCCCCCCCCCGAGAATGAAACTGCCGTGTGAGCAAAAATTCCTCTCAGTGGAAGTTGCTGCCCCCCCCTCCCCCCCACTACTGTCTGAAGCGGAGGTCACTTTGAAGAGCCTCTCACGAGGTAGCCTTGCGACATCCGCTGCCCTCCATCCCTGGCTCGCTTTTCCGCGTCTCTCTCGTTTCACCGCCTCGTTCGCGCCTCTCTGCTCCCATCTCGCCCGCGGTTTCTCCTCTCTCGTCCACACCGCCTCGTTGCGCCGTCGCACCGGCGGTTCATCATTCAAAGTGGGAGGCCCGCCAGACATTGTTTCCTTCTTCAAGGCCTCCAATGGGCCAACAAACGCCGCCGCCACGGCGGCGTTTTGTCCCCGTCTCCGATTCAGACCCTGAAAATCGGCGCCGCGTTGGTATTTACCAAAGGAAACACGGTTACTTGTATTCGTATTGAATTAGCCTGAAATCTCTGCATCGCCTGCCCTGCCTCTGCTGCCTGCAGCGACGTTTCCCCAAGGAGGAGGAGGAGCAGCCCGGGTGAACGTGTGGCGATCCGTTGAGAGCCTCACGATGACGGCTCAGCAATAATTCAGGTGTCCGACTGGGATCCGGCCAAATGTCACATTATTAATGCCCAGCTTCTAGCCCGTCGCAATTTATGGTTTTAATAAACCCCAGGATCGGTTGCATAAAATATTAACTTTTTTGTTGTTGTTGTTGTTGCCAATTTTAGTCCCAACTCTGCTGTGGGGTGTCACGTCCCGAGACAAAGGTTGGAGCTTCGACACAGAGAGCAGCGCGTCACCCCCACGTTCGTTACGGAGCGGCCCGCAGAATCGGAATACACAGAACTTCTTCTGAAATTCCTTCAAGTGGCTTTCCCCCTCGACCCCACGCCGCACCCCCCCCCCCCCACCCACTCCTCTCGCCCCCCACACACATCACACATTAGGGGGTACGTTACTGCATGCCTTGCTTTGGCTCATTCATTTTGTCACATTCTCCACATCGCGCCGCTAATGATCATGTTGTGTTACGTACCATGTGGGTTTGCATCAAACTAGGGCCCCCATGTCTAATGGAGAGGATCTAATCTGATAAACTTAGCCGCGAGAATTGTCCTTTGACTCACCGGTGATCTGACGGTGATAATGGGCGCGCTAATTTCTCGTACGCCACGTGACTACTTAATTTTCATTGGCTGGGTCGGGTTCGGGGAGGGGGTTTCCGACGAAATGTTGGACCAGATCGCCACGTGGCCTATCCCAAAAGTAAATAATAAATAATAATTTAGCCTTTCGAACGCCTACGTATGAAATGTATTATAACGTTTTGCGTCGAACGAGGACCCAAATCGAATAGCGAGTATCCTTGCCTAAATCATTCTGGTTGTTCGCCAGCAATAGTTCAAGTAAGCCTGACTGCTGATGAGACGACACTGAATGTCGAAACCGTTCCACAGCTTACTTGTGTTGAGCCGACGCCGCTGATGAAATGCGCTCCAGGCACTCTGTGCGGCTGATGAGATGTTTAAAAATATGTTTTTTTTTTAAGTGGATCTATGAAGGGGATGAATGGTGGTCTGCTTTGTGATGTATAGATCCTAACATTTGTCGTAGGCCAGTCGAATCATATACTTTATATATTTCGCTACATTCAGTTAAAACCAAGTTTAATATCATTGGAAGTTTTAGTCATTTGCAGTCATTGGTGACTCAGTTAAAAACCAATGCTTAATTTAATCCGGAACAATCTGGAACGCTTACTCCGGGAATTATTTTATCCATCCCACATTCATCTCGCCTTATTTTGGCCTCTTAATTATATTTTTGTATCTATATATATAAAAAAACCTTTCATAGGCTTATAGGAATATAGGATACAATAATACAGGATTACTATATGACGGATAGGAGGCACACCTCATATCTCTAGTGGTAGTGCGTTACACCGATACTCCATATCTGTCAGTCCTTACCAATTCAGACCTTACTGGTCACCCCTTGCCCTTAGAAATCTCAACGTTCATCCAAGAAATTCCCATCACAAGGGAGAAACACAAACAAATAGACAATTTCTTTTGTGCCCAACTCAAAACGGCTGTACGCCGTATGGACCTGTACAAGAAAACGGGGTAAACCATGTCGGTCGACAGGTATGATAATTATCCGTCACAGCGATCCAAACCACAGACTGAGACGAATCTTTGAAACAGGAGGGATCGCCAAACACGGACAGTGGATTATTATTATTAAAACCGGGTAAGGGGCCTTCTTTTAGGCTTTGCATCACAATGCCCAACGGTTAGGTAGCCTTGGTTTAAAATTACAATATAGGGCACACACGTCTCACCCAAAACAAGGAACAAGTAATGTGTTGTTTTTATGTCACTCTCAACACCACTTAGAGCCCTCTTGTGTTGCACTGCACGCGTATAAAACCCACAAAGAACGCTACTCGAGATGATATCAAGTACATTTTCTCAAAATATTATTTGGAACATTTCTCTTACATTTCGTACGTTTTCATATATTCTTGGCGCCCCTCGAACAGCTCGGTTCCACCGAGCAAGGAACTTGCCACGTATTTTTCTGTCTCAAGAGGCCACTTTCACGAGGCCACTTTCACAATTAACGTCACCTTTTTTTCTAACTTTCAGATGTTTTTCCCAAAAAAGTTTTTCGCGGGGGTTTCACAACACACACTCAAACATGCCCCCCCCCCAACCACACCACCCCCACCTGCCCCCCACTTCAAATGTCCTTATTATTTTCCTGAATAAATTTTACGCGGACAAAACGATAAACTTCGTTGAGTTCATTAAACCAGCTGAGAACTCAGGAGGCCAAAGAAAGTCTCGATTTTTGCAAAGAGTGAGCTGGGCTCTTTTAACAACAAAAAAAACTGAGGTTGGAACAAAAATATTTCCACAGGGTTTTTTTTTCCTCTCTCTCCTAGATTCATGAAAACAACTGCTCAACTGCTAGCTGAAAGAAAAAAACACTCAAAAACGCTCAACTTTACAGCTTTATGCCGCCGAATCTGGAACAACTCGTTACCAAGGAACGATGCAGTTGCTGTGCGTTTTCTTTACACTTTTCTTCGTCTTGCATTTGTGGAATTTTACATACGAGTTGCTTTATGTGAGAGTGATGCCGTCCGGTTTGATGTAGCTCGACAGGAACCCTGCATCTTTGCAATTTTCTGCAAAAAGAAAAAAAAATATTGTTCATTATTATTATACGTTTTCTTTGGTTCTTTCGATAAAGTCACGTAGAATGAGAATAAAATAATAAATTGATAAAATAAAATAACAATAATATTCTCACGACGTTTCGGCCACAACACAAGCGGCCTTCATCAGGTCAAGGGACGAGAATGTCTGGTAGGACAGCGCTGGAGTGAAAGAGCCACGTTCAGATCACGGCCTTTAAGCGCCTTGTCAAAGGAAATTCCTTTGACAAGGCGCTTTGTTCCTCTCACACAGCTTAAAGGCCGTGATCTGAACGTGGCTCTTTCACTCCAGCGCTGTCCTACCAGACAGTCTCGTCCCTTCACCTGATGAAGGCCGCTTGTGTTGTGGCCGAAACGTCGTGAGAATATTATTGTTATTTTATCAATTTATTATTTTATTCTCATTCTACGTGACTTTACCGAAAGAACCAAAGAAGATGAATCATTGCAGTCACGAAAGCTTTAAATCGAAATATTATACGTTTGTTTACCCAGAAAAGCCTCACCGAGTCTGAAGACTCTTCTTTCCAAGAGGATCCTGCCAAGTTTTCACAGGCAGCGGGGCGATGTTGCCGTTTGCAATTCCCGAACAGTGTTATTTTCAGTGCAATCTGTCAGCATTAGGATTTTTTTGTTTGCCAATGCCAGTTACAACTTTGCATGGGGTTTGTTTAGCTAAGGGAGGCAACCGGAGAACCTAGTGGAAACCCATGCAGGACATGGGGAGAGAAGCTACAAACTCCACGCAGAGAGAGGCGCCAGAGTCAGGAGTCAACCCCGTGATCTTCTTAACTCTGAGGTCACTTTATGCCGCACGGGGAAAGTTGCAACTGTGCGTGCCCTGTAAATGTTTTAGATGAGCCGTGAGGCTATTTGAGTTGCCAAGACATTTCAGTGCAATCTAAATACGAAAGATGATTATGATTTGTGTAACCAGTGTGGTTGCGTTACCAATAAATGGTGCATATATTAGCACTACAGTGATTGAGAGGGTGTAATTAGTGGGTGGTAAACCTTGCGAATATTGCTGGGTCACGATTGACTTAGGATAGATGGACGTTAGGCATGGTCACGTGACCAATGGATGAGGTGGGTTAGCACAAACATTTTTTATAAAAAAATAATCCGTAGCCATCCTTTATAATTACACAAGCATTAGCACATATTTACGTTTTATAATATATTAGATATTAGTGAACTTGAAACTGTAGTTAATTCATGATAAATTAAAATATGTAAAATTAATGGTGTGAGATATATTCCCTAGCGATCCTGAAAAGAGGGAGGCCTGTATTGAGGGCCAATCGTTATGCCAGCACATTGATATTACAGGTTTTATATATACTTACACTTATTTGTTAACAGTTTGATAAGTATGATAGTGTGCACATATGATAGAGTTAAATAGTTAGTGATAATTGTCAATGTTAATATTGTTAAATGTTTGGCCGCCATTATTGAGGCCTACGTGGAGCCTGACTCTTGCTCTGAATGTATATTATAAGTTAGACATTGTTATGTATTGCTTAATTGATGAATAATTAAGAGTATTAGAGATTTCAGTTAAGATAAGCTCTATATGATTCTCATAGTACTAAATCGTGACTTAAGCGACATGTCTCGGACCGTGTTCGTGAACATAAGGCAGATTTGAAACACGGTAGGACCAATACTTCTGCTGTGGCTGATCATTGTTTTAATGCGGTGGGCTCACACGAAATTGACTTCTCTAAGACGAAGGTACTTTGCAAGCCTACTGGCTATCAACAAAGATTCGTTCATGAAGCCATCCACATATATAGACACAGACACAATTTCAACCGAGAAGATGGGTACAAACTGAGTAATCATTGGAAGGACGTCATCAACCAGTTTAAGTCATAACTGGCTGTGATGTTCCCATCCTGCCACCTTCTGTTTTTTTTTATTTTCCCCGTGGCTTGGGCTGTCCGATTTTACATTAACAGGTAAAAAAATAAATTTTCACACCAACACAGCCACCTCCGCGCGCCGACCTCGACGTGGCGGCGGCTCTGCAATCTCACATTAACATTCTAACCTCTCACATTAACACAGCCACCTCCACGCGTCGAGGTGGCTGTGTTAATGTGAGAGTCACCTCCATGCGCTCGACGTGGAGGTGGCTCTGCGATCTCACATTAAAATGCTAACCTCTCACATTAACACAGCCACCTCCGCGCGTGGAGGTGGCTCTGCGATCTCACATTAACATGCTAACCTCTCACATTAACACAGCCACCTCCGCACGTGGAGGCGGCTCTGCAATCTCACATTAACATTCTAACCTCTCACATTAACACAGCCACCTCCACGCGTGGAGGTGGCTGTGTTAATGTGAGAGTCACCTCCATGCGCTCGACGTGGAGGTGGCTCTGCAATCTCACATTAACATGCTAACCTCTCACATTAACACAGCCACCTCCGCGCGTGGAGGTGGCTCTGCGATCTCACATTAACATGCTAACCTCTCACATTAACACAGCCACCTCCGCGTGTGGAGGCGGCTCTGCGATCTCACATTAACATGCTAACCTCTCACATTAACACAGCCACCTCCGCGCGTGGAGGTGGCTCTGCGATCTCACATTAACATGCTAACCTCTCACATTAACACAGCCACCTCCGCGCTTGGAGGTGGCTCTGCGATCTCACATTAACATGCTAACCTCTCACATTAACACAGCCACCTCCGCGTGTGGAGGCGGCTCTGCGATCTCACATTAACATGCTAACCTCTCACATTAACATCACTGGCCCCGCCCACTTCGTTTATGACCCTTGGGCTACGCCCATTTTAAACCTTTACAACAGTCTGCCTCAGCAGCTTTCCCCCTCTTTCTCCTCCCGATGACGATCGCTTGTGTCGCGATCGAAACGTCGTTGCTTTTGTTTATTTTTTAAATTCATTTTAACCGATCTCCGTGACTTTACCGTAAGACCCAAAGAATATCTCATAGTACTGTTTAAAATTCTTGTAATATAAATCGTAGTCGGGAACGGGCCTATGTCATGAATACTATGGATATGATAAACAGTCTAGGAAATGATAGCTAGAATAAGCATAGCAATGTAAATCGTAGTCTGGATAGGTATTGTAATTTATATCAGGATAAATAAGGCAATACAAATGATAGCTGGAATAGGTGTAGTATTATTAATCATAGTCAGGTAAGGAAGAGCAGAGTATTATAAAGGATAGATAGGATTATAATAACATAACTGATTGTTTAGATAAGTATAGGGAATTTTGATTATTGTTAAAAATATATATTTACATAATTGCCAAATGTCATGTGACCACTGGATAAGGGATCTTCAAGAGAGGAAGGCCCGTATTGAGGGCCAATCGTGACGCCAACACGTTGATATCACAGTTCCGTTGGTGTACCTGTGTGCTGGGAGCCGTATGAATAAACGGATGCAGTTTTGGAACCTCGTCACCCCCTCAGAAAGTCCTCGTGTTGTGTGCACGTGGCTGATGGGACTGGGGACGAGTCATGTCGAAGTTGACGAAAACGAGGATCACGCAGTGGAACCAAGGAAAACAATGCCGGAGCGCTACCAAAAACTTTCATGTCATCAATTATCGATGACCACACTGTGCCCTCGATAGTGGTCACGGCCAGGAAAGATCGAGGCAAAGTGAGCACGGGTCACATTTGGAATTGTATTTTTATTTAGATTGGTGGGAGGCGGCTGGAACGTTTTTCCTTCCGAGGTATCCATTTTTAAATCTAGATTTAAAACAAATTTCTTTGGAACTGCTTTTTGCTGTTTAGTTTGTTGTTGTTGTGCCCCCGCACCAACGATTAGCACGGTTGGCTACGTATGGTGCGAACGAAGTTCAACATACCCAGTGTCTGTAAAAGAAAATGCCCTTTTCTCTATAATCCCTATTCTTCTAGTGGTGTATCAAAGAATCATCCTGTTCTTTCACAGCATTTCATTGCCACCTCTGCAATTCGAATGAACACTAGGTCTCATGGCTTGACATCAGCAGCAGAGGCGGGATCAACTTTGTGAAAGTGACAAAAGCGACTTCAACAAAGTATCTGGAGGAATTTTGTTCACGAGCAGGCGCCCGCGTTGTTTGCTACGTCGCAGCACCGTGAGATGAGGCGGTGGCTTTTGGGGAGGCCGTCATCATCCAGCAGTGGATCATGCACGGCTTATTAAATGATGATGCGCTTGTCCTCACGCGGGGACCGTGCCCCTCTGCCAGCCGCGCTTTTGGAAAAAGTGTTTCGGAGCTCGGGCCTTTGTTGGTCCTTGGCGCTCAAGATTTGGAATTCTCTCTGCCTGAAGAAATGCGCCGGACTACTGAGATTCTCCCATTTAGAAAGAAACACAAAAAAACGACTCATTTCCTACGCTATGTTAGACACACTGGAGGAGTTTCTTTTTCTTCTCTACGGTGCTTTGAAGTCCTTTGTTGGGTCTGCTGCGCCCTTATAAAATGTGAATAATTACAATCGGTAACGTACCTTTGTGGAGGTCCCCATCGGCAGGAGACAGCAGAAGTCTTGTCTCCTCCGGTTGGCTGTCTCGCCGCTGTCCGTCATCTGTGGGGCCCGTCCCTCGTCCCAATCGCCCCGCTCCCCTCTCCGCGAGCCCCGCCTCCATGTCGGCGAGCTCTTCCCCCAGAGCGTCGTGGGCGGCCAGGCCGGCCACCTCGGTGCACACCAGCAGTGCTCCGGCCTCCCCGTTCTGCTTCGGGTCTGCACAAGATCGCGACGGACAAACAATTCAGGTGCATATGTACGTATTGATACTTACAAGGAGACAACATGCATTGAGTGCTTATCGTATTCACGTAGGGCCATACAAAAACAGCTTGAAATTTCAAGAACTTCCCCGCCTTGGGAAGTTACTCGACCTGCCTCTGACCATCACGTTCCAAGGCCTACCGTAGGCTTCGAGTGAACAAGTGCGGCAACTGTGGGGACCGGCCCTCGGTCACTCACCGGGCAAATGCTCCACATCCACCACATCCACCACGCTGGCCCAAACACCCCCACCCGCTCCTCCAGCACCGCTACCACCGCCGGCATGACCGCCGCCGCACCCACCGCAGCTGTGCGGCCGCCCGGCCAGCGGCACCACCCCCTCGAGGCTCGTCCCGGCCCGCCCGCCGCTACCGCTCACGGCCGCCACTATGGAGGCCACGGCGCGCCTGCGGGCGGGTGTCACGCACTCCTTCTTCTGCGCCGAGTTCCTGCGCTGCAGAAGCTGAGAGGGCGAAGCCGACGGCGGTGGCGGCGTCGGCGTGGAGGGGGGCGGCTGCCCGAACTGGTGCGGTGCCGCAATCGCGATCGCGGCCGGCCCCACCCCCATGGCAGCTGCCACCTTGGGCATGTAGCTGTTCTTCTTCTTGGGCAGCTTCTGCTTGGCCATGGCCAGCGAGTAGTACATGCCGAAGTTGTTGACGATGACGGGCACCGGCATAGCGATGGTGAGCACGCCCGAGAGCGCACACAGCGCTCCCACCAGCATGCCCGACCATGTCTTGGGGTACATGTCACCGTAGCCCAGCGTCGTCATCGTCACCACGGCCCACCAGAAGCCGATGGGGATGCTCTGTGTGTGTGCGTGTGCGGGGTAGGGGGTGTGGGTTTAGGGGGTTGGGGTCAAGGGTTATTATTCAGGATAGGGTAAGAGATTGAAAGGGATAAGGTTTGGCTGGGGTTATGGTTAGGTGAGAGATAACGTTAAAGTAAGGTTAGAGTCGGGATAGAGATAAGGTTACGTTGGCTTTAGGGATACGATTAGGATCGCGATAGGGTTAGGGTAAGGTTAGGATTTGGATAGAGATAGTGTTAGGTTGGGTTTATGGTTAGGTTATAATTCAGTGGGCTCACATGACATTGACTTCTCCAAGACGGAGGTTCTTTGCAAGCCATCCGGCTACCATGAGAGATTCGTTCATGAGGCCATCCACATATACAAACACAGAGACAATTTCAACCGAGAAGATGGATTCTGGCTTAGTAACCATTGGAAAGATGTTATAAACCATTTCAGTTCTTAATTGATTGTATTTTACGGTGACCTTCAGACCGCAATCCATTCGCTAGCAATGCCTCTTGATATCTTTCACACCACAGTCAATGGTATGGTTTATAACATGTAGTATAATAATAAATAGTACAGCATCATAATGTTTAACATAATTCATAAGGCAATATATAGTATCGTAATTGCATAATGAATATACAGCAGTGTGTCATACATTAGGGTTGACAGAATAAGACATAGTGTAATATTACAAGTCTGGTATTTTATAGTCTAAAGTATAGGGTAGTGCACAGTAACGCATTGTATAATTCAAAGGTGGGATATAGTGAATATACAGCAGTGTGTCATACATTAGGGTTGACAGAATAAGACATAGTGTAATATTACAAGTCTAATATTTTTTATAGTCTAAAGTATAGGGTAGTGCACAGTAACGCATTGTATAACTCAAAAATTTTCCTACTGCCCCCGTGCAGTGGCCCACCGGACGTACCGCACCATCAACAGAACAAAATAATGATTAACTTAGCCCCACACCCCATCAATGTCCCCCACTTGACTCCTCCCCCCCTTCACCTGTATTTAAGCTCGAGGCTCTCAGAGCCTCCCCACTTGATCAGCGATCTTGCTGTGACTGTTCCACCTGAAGACGGAAGCTTGTGTTGCCTCCGAAACGTCGTGAGAATTTATATTTCTTTTTTATTATTTGATCCCCATTCAGCGTGACTTTACCAAAAGAACCAAGAAGATGAATCCCTGCAGTCACGAAAGCTTTGAATCGAAATTTAAGGTTGGGTTTATTGTCAGAATAGGGTGAGGATAGGCATAGGATATGTGTGGCCATTTGTGGACATTCCACATTCTCATCATGAAGAGAGAACCAGCTCTATAGCACAACACTGATGACGTCTCACAAAGCGGTACTTAATTTATCCACTACAGAAAGATGGTGGGCTCAGTGGACTTTGCAATTTCATAATGCTCGCTATGATGGGAAGTAATTACAGGAAGTACAGAACATCTTATGCAATTCTAGCCATTGCAAAAATTGAGACTTGTCTTAACGTCAATTCCATACATGTAGTTAAGACAATAAAGCATCGTAAATTCAGGACATAACTTAGGGGTGATCAGGACCCCTTGTACGTCGATAATAACAATCATAATATTTATAACATTAACATTCATAGAATCAAAAACAACCAAAAATATTCCTTATTTGCTTTATTGGTTTGACCGTGTAATGGTCTGGATAAATTTCTGGCATAATACCCGACACCACTCGACACAGCCAAATGCATTCAATTATCTACATTTGACCGGATCATTACTTGGCCTAAACCAAAGAAATATTTACGAACCAAAATATGACGTGTGAAAACCTACGGCTGAAGCGCATGGAGTGATGATGTCATGGCGGCCATATTATGCGACAACTGATACGAGAGTTGTCTGCTACTCAAACCCCCCCACCCCCCCCACAACCGGTTAACGTCGCTGCTTACGATCGGTGCTCACCGTGAAGTGTGTCTTGTCCTCATCGATGCCGGGCTTGGCGCCGAGGCGCTCGGCATAGTAGATCATGGTGGCGAAGATGAGCACGCCGAGGGCTAGGAAGATGATGAGCAACAGGAACTCGTTGGTGCTCGCCTTGAGCGTGTGGCCCAGCACGCGGAGGCCGACGAAGTGGCGCGTCAGCTTGAAGATCCGCAGGATCCGCACAAACCTCACCACCCTGGGCGGAAAAAAAAGATCGCCACATTCAGCCGTGATCGATCCACTGCTGGATGAATGGCTCGCCCCCCCCCCCCTACCCCCACAAAGCCTCCACCTGTCATGATCCCGCACTCCAAGAATCGCTGCATCTCCTCGGTGGATGCCCTCGGAGAAGCGTTCCATTCCCTTGGCTGCCGCTCCGTTGTTAGTCTTGACCATTGGCCAACCTCCCGGCAACGTGTCCCACCCCTCTGATCAATCATCAAGTTCAGCTTTCCAAAAGCAGGGTGGCGTAGCGGTAACACGCTCATGCCTCATAGCAAGGAGCCCTGAGTTCGATTCCCGACCCGGGTGCCTCTGTGTGGTGGATGCTCGTTATCCCTCCGTTTCGCCCGCATGAGTTTTTTTCTGGGTCCTTTGGTTTCGTCCCATGGCTGGCAATGGCCAAACATCCCCATGCTGAAAAGCTACCTGCAAATTACTCAGCTGGGAACACACATACAGCAGCAGCATCGTGCCCCCTTGCTGCGAAAACTTTGCAGGACCCTCCTGAAAAAGGAGTCCTGAGACCCGGTGAGGCTTTCCTGGGTAAACAAGAGCAGCAAATAACATCCTTTCTAAAAGCCAAAACGAAGAAACAAAACGTGGAGCTGCTTACCGCAGGAACCCCAACACCTCGCGCGCCCCCTTGGACTTCAAGTTGGACAGCCCCACCTCCAGGTAGAAGGGCAGGATGGCGATGAGGTCGATGATGTTCAGCTTGTTCTTCATGAACTCCCGCTTGTTGGGGCTTGTGAGGATGCGCACCATGAACTCGATGGTGAACCACACGACGCACATGCCCTCGATGTACATGAGCGCTGGCGCCGTCTCGTATTCCGTCGACTCGGTGGGCATCGGTGACAGTGGCACGACGGTAGTGCCGCTAGCGTTGGCATACGACGGCCGATCGGCGTCCGGGTCTCCGCTGCGTCCCCCACCGCCGCCGTGGCCGTGGCCGGACGAGGGCTCGCCGGGCTGGGGGCTCCGGGGGACGTTGAAGGCTTCGTGGGTCTCCAGGCAGAATGTGGTAATGGAGACGAGGATGAAGAAAAGCGAGATGTATGCCACATACTGCGCGGATTGTGGCCGGGGAGGGAAAAACAAAACATCCGAGTGAGATTTGGCACGGGATATCAAATACAAAAACTAATATCTGGTACTCAAGATGTATTGCCGAAGCTATCAACAGAAGGTGTGTACCGGATTAATTTCTCCTGTGGCAAATGCTATGTTAGTTAAACAAGATTAATGATCGGCATGAGACTAAAATAACACAAAAGGAATATTAAATACTCCCAACTGATGGCAGTGGCAGAATACGTGTGCCAACAAGGACACTCAATTTATTTTGATAATGTTGGAAGTTCTGTGCAAAACTAGTTACTACTGGCTAAGACTAATTAGATCATCTACCGAAATTGAGGAAATCCAAAATAATTGTAACCGTTCTGAAAGCTACAGTCTTAGTGCTGCTTGGAAGCCAATGATCAAGTACTGTAATACACTGTTTAACTGTATGCATATACAGGTCACCATACGGCGATGGTGATAAACTGTGAGCAGACAATAACGGGTATTGCGATTTGTTTCAACCAAACACGGCATGGTGTGCATGCATAAAGTATGTTGATTACCCTATGAATAACTCAACCTGTAATGGATATCCATTGTAATTTATATGTATTCATTAACACCCCCCCACCCACCCTCCTCTCTGGTCTTCATACCTGATTGGCTCACAAGGGACGACATCACATTTATCGCTCTATTTAAGACAGAAACAGGAGGATTACTCCACAGCTCTGGATGTTTCAGTTTCAGTTTATTTGTTTATTTTGTTATAGCCCTGTGAGCCATTCGACTCTTGAATCGGGTGCAACCACAACAAACATAAAACAAAAACACGAACAAGAAAACATCTTAAAGTGACTATGTGTGACTGTGCAAACAGAAAATCCAGGAAAAAAACCGGCAAAATATTCCTGAAAAAAGCATCGTACACCAACGCTGTGTGCAAAAATCCCAGTGGGATGCAAGTCAAACAACAACCACAAGAAAACTTAGATTAAGGCCATCAGTCTAACTCCATACTACAACAAAACAAACATGTCCAAACCAAAAAACTTTTCAAAATCACCAAAAAATAAAGCCATAATTGCAACGTAACAGTGATCACAGGGACTGTGACCGAATTTTTACAATAAACTACATAAATAACATGTAACACCAAATCCTAGAGCCATAGCTGGCTGCATGAGTTACTCCACAACAACAGAAGCATCAGTCGGAGTATCACATTTTTCAATGCACCTTCAAGATCAGCACGCTAAATCAAAATTCAGATAATACTTTGCAGCGTCATCCGGAGCGAAACATTTTATTTTATTTTACGCCAATGAATAGCAGTAGTAGCTAGGGGTGTACAACTCCTCTAGAGCAGTTTTGAGAGAAGATCTCATTGGTAGCGATTCAAGTTGCAGTTTATTGGCAATAGCATTCCAGACCCTGGGGGCATCAATAGTAAAGGCCCTTCCTCCAGTTTTTGTACGGCAATAGGGAATGTGAAGCTGGTAAATGAGCGAAGACCTGAGGTCAAATTTGTTCTTTGAAACAGAGAGGAGATCCAGCAGGTAGTCTGCGGATTTTTTTGTAAGTGCATCGTGAATAAATAAGATCTGGTGCACAAGCCGTCGAACATTAAGAGGTGTTAAGTTTGACCCAATGTAGAGATCACAGTGGTGAGTCCTATATGGGCAATTCAATGTAAATCTTAAGGCCGAGTGATAGATGGAATCAAGCTTCTTCAGTACAGTACTTGGGGCTGATTTATACATGATGTCACAGTAGTCAAGTAGAGGCAGTATGGTAGCTTTCATCAATTCCAAACGGAACATTGGGGGGAAGCAGTGCTTGTGTCGATACAGAAAAACAATTTTTATTTTTGCCTTTTTTCCAATATAATCAATGTGATCTTCAAAATTCAGTTTTAAATCCAGGATGACCCCAAGATCTTGACTTGCTCTATTTGATAATTATTTAAGGAATGTAATTGGGGAAAAATAACTTCCAGCTTTACTCCTGGTGAGAAGCATAGCACCTTGGTTTTGGAGGTATTCAGGACTAGTTTAAGAGCAACTAGCTGATGTTGTAGTTTGTTGAAATCACCCTGTAGCTTAGCAATCACGTCATCCGGACAGCGCCCAGCAGTAATCAGTATCGTGTCATCTGCAAAATCATTGACATAAAGAGAGAACAAAAGGGGGCCGAGGATGGAACCCTGTGGAACCCCTTTTGTTATCTTAACACTGTTTGACCTCCAACCATCTGTGAATACAGTTTGGGTGCGAGAAAAGAGGTAATTTTGTAACCATTTGACTGCGTTTTCAGAAAAACCGAGGCAACTTAGTTTACTAAGCAGGGTGTTGTGGTCTACTGTTTCAAAAGCTTTGGACAGGTCTAGAAAAAGACAGGTACAGTACTGCTTATTATCAAGGCTACTGTAAATGTGATTCAGAGAGTCTAATGCAGCAGATGTGGTGCTGTATTTTTTTCGGAACCCAGATTGTTATAGATGTAGTAGATTGTTGGCGGACAGGAAACTGCTAATTTGGTAGGTCAATAATTTTTCAAAAATTTTCATCAACGGGGACAAAATTGAGACAGGTCGGTAGTTATTTGGATCATCTTTAGGGCCCCCTTTGTGAAGTGGACGGACATAGGAATGTTTACATTCTAGAGGAACTGATGCTTCTTTGATGGACAGGTTGAAAATATGGGCTATAGTTTCGTATATTAAGTGACCAACAGTTAGTAGAGCAAAGACGGGAATACTATCTGCTCCGGTAGAGGAGGACCCTTTGAGGTAGGACAGTTGTTTCAGAACATTACTTTCGTGGATTGGCTGGAAACTAAATTCGTTTAATGTTTGGACAGGCGTGTAGGAATTTGCATGAGCAGGGGTGACTCCCAATACATTATCAAAAGATTACCAGCTTCAGAAAAATGAAGGTTAAAATTGTCAACTATTTTTTTGGGATCTGAAAAATATTCCTCATTTCGGTTAAGCTCAACGGGCAGATTGTCTATTTTGGATGCCTTTTCGATACATTTGATTATTTTCCAGAAAATTCTGGCATTTCCATGTGATTCCAGGAGAGTGGAGGAAAAGTAGGCATTTTTTTGCATGCCGTATTTTTTTTACACATCTATTCCTTAAAGTCCTGTATTCTAGCCAGTCATTGACCAAATTACTTTTCTGAGCACATTCCCAAGCCTTGTCCCTAGTTTTCATGAGCTTTGTAATCAAAGGATCAAACCATGGTGGGTAGTTGCCTTTAGTTTTAAATCTAACCATGTTTGTTAAGAATTTGGAGAAACGTGTACCTGAAGGTCTCCCAAGCCGTAGTCAGGTTGGGGATATCACAGACCTTGTCAATATCCGAGTGAAGCACATAATTAGTAAATGCCTGAGTGCTGAAGTGTCTCATAGAGTGCTTCTCAACCAATTTAGGGGGGGCTTTGGGTCTGGCTGATGATCTCACCCCAAAAATGAAGGAGTGATCACTAAGGTTATTACCCAGAACACCAGTCAGTGTGAAATTGTGAGGGGCATTTGTCAATAGGACGTCAAGCAGAGATGACTGTCCCGGATTTTTTAGGTTGGGTCTTGTGGGGACATTTATTAATTGAAACAGATTAAATTCATCTGCAAAATTTGTGGCCACGGCCGGCGGGTTTAGCCAATTCCAATTTAGATCACCCACTAAAACTATTTCACCTTTAGGGAGGCCTCCAAAAAGCTCTCTCGAATTGTACATATTCTGGGTTTACTCTCCAACACACCGGTGTGCTGTACTAGTAACGAATTGCCACGTTTTGTTCACGTGACAAACCTTAATAATTGGTTGTGTCGGGTGGTGGCGGGTTTAACGACACATTTGTATTCATGCGATCTAACCCAAAACTCCCTATTATCAATTAAAGACTGATAAACAGATTTGCTGATTCAAATGTTAATTCTTAGACTTTTATGAAGACCGATGTGTTTGCTGCACAGGTGTACTGCCAATACGACCATATAGAGTGTACAGACAGTCCCCGGTTTACGGAAGGGTTAGGTTCCCGAGAACGATCCGTAACCCGAACTTTTCATGTCGGAAACTGAACAATTTCCCCCCAAAACCAACGATAAATTCCATTTACCTTAATCCTTGTGAATCGTATTCCACGGTGTTCATCTGCAACCTCATCGCGCTGCACAAGTTGCACTTACGTAACGAACGCAAATATTTTCGCGTATTGTATTTTTTTACATCTCTACAAATGAATCATTTGGCGGGACCCCGGGGTCCCGCAAAAATCAGGTCAACAATAATTATTATTTTTCAGTCCGCCCACTCGTGATCCCGACAGCAACGCGCCGCCCGCCCAGACTCGCGCCAACAAGCGCCAGCAGGCGGCGATCAACACGATGGGCGCCACCCCACCGGCCAAACGCAAGCCCCGGGGGGCGTCCACCGCAGTCGCGCGAGGAGACAACGTCCTCCGGTCAGCCGTCGATCCTCAGCTTCTTTGCCAAGGCGAGCCCCGCCCCCCAGGCAGTGAATTTAACGTGTTTATGTAATATTCATATTCTTAGCTCTTTCGGTAAGGTCACGTTGAAGGGAAACAATAAAATAATAAATATATATAAAACAATAAAAATTCTCACGACGCTTCGACCATAACACAAACGGTCGTCATCAGGTGTGTGGGTTTGCATCAATGCATCATCAGGTGTGTCGGTTTGCATCAATGCATCAATGCAAACCGACACACCTGATGACGACCGTTTGTGTTATGGTCGAAACGTCGTGAGAATTTTTATTGTTTTATATATATTTTATTGTTTTATTGTTTCCCTTCAACGTGACTTTACCGAAAGAGCTAAGAATATGAATTACTGCAGTCACGAAAGCTTTAAATCAAAATTTAGTGTTTATCTAATTTTTCAACTTTTTACGAAACTTAGTGCCCCGAGTAGCTCTCGACGAGGGCCAATCGATTGACCACTAGTTTTGTTGTCGGTAAGG